GGGCGGCCGCGGCGGCCGCGCGGGCGGGGATGTGCAGGGGTTGCGGGTGTCGCACGCGGTGGTGTCGGGCGGGCAGCTGGTTGAGTCATTCGGGAAGCTGCTGGCGTTTGGGCTTGACGTTTTCGAGGTCTCGCAGGTGGGTGCACTCTGAACCCTAAACCCAGGGGCCCACAAACTTCAGTTCGTGTGAGATCTCAAGATCCCCTGAGCTGTGGTTTTGCAAGCGTTCCCGGCGCCGACTCGGGGCCCCCCCTCCACGAGCGGCTCCACGCTGCCTCGCTGCTCTTGCCACGGGGCTCGGCGACCCCCCTCCGCCCTGCAGCCCCCGACGCAACCCACACCTCAGCCGCCCGCTCAAGCCATCCGTCTTTGAACCCGGTTGCACCCTCACACCCTCAAAACCAGATCTACTCTGCGAGCCGAGACACCAAGCTACGATGCTTCAAGCGGCTGGCCGCGACGTTCGAGCCGGGGACCAGGTGCGGGGGACGGGCCACCCCAAACACAACCCCACCTCGCCCGGCCCACGCCGCCCACCCCACCCCACGCCGCCACGCCCGCGGCCGCTCCCCCTGTCCGGCTCTCGGTCGCCCCGCGGCGAGCGCTTGCATGCGTGGCGTTCGCCGTTGGACGAGAGGCGCCGCCTGGCCCCTCGTGCTGCCCACACTGCGTCCCCGCGCCGGCGTCCCTGCACACGCACACACACACACACACACACACACACACACACACACACACACACACACACACACACACATTCCCTCACCCACGGCCACCACCTGGCAGGTTCGTCGCCGTCGGTGGCGGGCTGGAAGCGGAAGCGTCCGCGCAGCAGCTCGGCTGGCGCTTCGTGCGCGTCACGCCCTCGCCGCCGCACCCCGGCGACCCCGAGCGGCGCGCCGCCGCCGCCGCCGCTGCGTCCCCACACGCGGCGCACGCGCCCGCGTGCGCGGCGCTGGAGAAAGGCTGCGAGGGCAGCGGCGCGGCATCGCCCTGCGGCGCCGCGGCGGCGGCGGCGGCGGCCGCTGGGGTTGAGTCACTAGAGGATTGGATGGCGTCCCGCCGCCGCGCCCCGCGGCCCAGGGACGCCCTGGGGGGCGCCGCGTGGCACGTGACCGAGCTAACCCCGGAGAAGCTGCTCGCGGCGGCGCTGCTCTGACCGCGCCCGGCCCCGGGCCGCCCGCCCTTGCGGCGGCGCCTGGCCCCTGCGGTGCGCCTGGCGTCTCGCCGCGCCCTGGCCGTTTTGGCGCGGCGGCGTCTCAAGGAGGCGCGGCCCTTGCTCCCGTGTGAGGCCGCACGCGGGTGTTTGGGCGGCCGACGCCGGCCTCCTTTTCACATATGTTACCTCCTGTCCGGACGCCTCAAGGTTTGGTCCGCGTTTGATTCGAAAGGGCCGCGCCGCGGGGGGGGTGGCTATGGTGGGCCCCCGCCCTGGTGCGGCCCGCCCAGAGGGGGCGCCTGGGCGCGCCTCTTGACAGGCACAATCCGAGAGCGGCCTCGCCCTTTCTCCCAGTCAGCTCACTCCCTGCCACTCCCCTTGCTTGCTGGACCCACGCAAAAAGGCACCCGCATTGGTTGCTCCACTGCTACTATCACAGCACTGCAAAAGCCTTGCGGCCGGCTCTCAGATTCGCGGCCGCGGCCTCCAGACGGCGCACCCGCCTGACTGCCCGACCGCGCGCACCCGCGGCCGCGCGCTCGCGGCGGCGCGCCGCGCCCCCGGCCGACGGCCCCTGTGCTTTGCCCCGCGAGCCCTAAATCGCACGCGGCCGTGGCGCCGGGACCGCCGCCCGCGGCGGCGCGTCGGTTGACGCCCGGGCGCGGGGTGGGCGCGCAGCGCGCCGCCCCAGCACGGGCGCGCTCACGCCGCCCGCGGGGCGCCGCTCGGGCACCGCAGACCGCTCAGGCGCGAATCTACACACCGTTCCTATTCGTGCGCGCTAATGCTCCTCCTTTCGGACGCAGTCGCCCTCCTGTTGTGGACCCCCGTCTGGCGCGCCTCCATCCAGGGACGCCCGGGCGGTCACATGCGCGTTCAGAGTTTCCAATGCCCGTGGCGCCTGCGTGCGTGCGCCCCCGCTGCCCCTGCATCGCGCCTTGCCCTGCCTTGCTGCGTCTTGCGGACCCTTTCTTGCCTCTCCTCATGTTCTGCCAGCTACCTATGGTTACCATCATTTTGCCGCCCCCGGCCCGGCGGCCGGGGGCGCGCCCCGCATCACATTGTTTCCAAAGTACGGGCCAGGGGAACATGGCGGCCGCCGCAACGCGTGGGGGCGTTGGGAGGCCAGCACGCGCCGGCCATTCGCTTCCTTCTCTTTTTCCGTCAGTGCGGAACGCTCCCGACAGAACCCCCCGCGCGCCGCGCGCCGCGCGCCACGACGGAAGCACTGTCTGCGCGCCCGCTCACCGCCCGCCGCCCGCCGCCCGCCCGTCGCCGCAGCGGGCGGCCTGTTGCGACAGGCGAGCCATGCACCTGCGCGCGTGCGGGCGCGGCGGCGGCGCGCGCCCCGGCGCCGCGAATTCGCACTGCGTCTCCTGTCCCGCATCGCCTTGCAGCCGCGCTGTGCATACGCATCCCGTGCCCTTGACGGGGCAGGGCGGTCGGCCCATTTCAGGGGGAACCTCTTCGAACCGGGTACCTCACATTGCTGCTTACGGGGCACCGACGGCGCCCGCCCCCCATCCACTTGACCATCTATGCACTTTGGAGCATTACCATGTATGTAACAACCTCGACCGATCTTGTGGACGAGGCCTTTGTTCGCAGACAGCGTTTCGGCCTGCGGAACCAGCACAATGAGCCCGCCTTTGCAGCATGCCTGACAATCTCCTCTAACCGCTCCCATGCAGTGACGGCCCCGGCTGGGGCTCCCCAGGATTGTGAACAGGCTGTGACGCCGTGTAAATACGATATTGGCGCCCTTATTCGGCCGCGTGACGCGTCTGCCTGCTCGCTCAGCTGATGAGGCTCCAGAGCGCTGCAAGCCTGCCAGGCGGGAGCTCCGCTGATTGATGAGAGGACTGGCTGATTGTGTGTATGTGTGTGTGTGTGTGTGTGTGTGTGTGTGTGTGTGTGTGTGTGTGTGTGTGTGTGTGTGTGTGTGTGAAAGTGTAGTAGTACCCACTGCTCATCGGTGTTGAGAACGTGGAGAATTTATCATCACAACACAGCAGTGGGTGGCTTGCAACCCACACACACGCCCCAGGCCGGATCGCCACGCCTCCTTCCACTCGGCCAGGGGCTGTTACACTCGCGATCTGCTGACTACGCTGAGCTTTCGCGTGCAAACTGCTCAGCACCAAACGCGCGCTCGACCGCTGCTGCTGGTTTGTGAAGGTAAGCATCCCTTCGGATGGTTTCCCTGGCGCCAACACGCGCGAGAGCGGTCGCGGCTTGTGTGTCGCAGCGCAGTTGTGCACACCCACGCGCCCTCCCACGTCGTCCGCATCCCTGAGCTTCAGGCCACGCGTCACCGACTGCGCGTTGGGGATTCTTACAAGTGCGTGCGCCTGGCGAGCCTGGGAAGGGCAGCGGCAGCGACAGAAGCAAACACGCAGACTCCAGCACAAGTCAGTCAAGGTGTTGTGGCTTGAGCTGCAGAGGGGGATGTACAACCGAACCTGTGCATTTCAATCAGACGCGAGGCGTCACAGGTCTAAGGCAGTGCGAGGTATTCAGGACGAGCGCCGCCGCCAGGGCGATCCGATGCACTCATGGGATGAGCCACCGAGGCGGGCCCCGCCCACAACGCCATGCGCCGGGCCCCGCCCACAACGCCATGCGCCGGCCGCCGGGCCGCTCGCCGCCCCGCGGCCGCCTTCACTCTCAGCCCAACGGGGTCGCGGCCCCCCTCTTCGGCGGCGCCTGTTTGGCGCAGCCCTTCAACCCCAGGGCTGCCTCCGCGTCCTTCACCTGCAGCAGGCCGCCCCTGCCGCGCTTTTGAGTGGGTTTGCCGCTGCTATCCAGCAATACGGCCGTGTCTATCAGCGCCCTCGCCACGTCCGCCGCCCCGCACGACTCGAACCGCCCCATCAGCCGCGCCGCCGCCCCCGCGACCCACGCCGCGGCCTGCGGCGAGCCGCTGCGGGACACGGCGGGCGTGGGGACGGCAGAGAGCGTGGCGGCCTGGGAGGCGGCGGCCGCGGCCACCAGCCGGGCAGCAACATCTAGATCAGGCGCCACCAGCACCGGCGCCGGCGCGCCGCCGCCGCCGCCGCCGAAGCCGCCGTCGCTGAAAAACGGCGGCGCCCCGCAGTCGGCCACCGCACGCGCGATCTCCGCCGCCCACTTGGCCATGCCCGCAGGCTCGCCGGGCCCCGCGGCCGCCGCCACCGCGAGCCCGCCGCCGCAGTCGCGCGCGCCGTTCTGGACGGCGCGGCACGACGCGCGGTGCGCGTCGCCGAAGGGGACCTGCAGCACACACAGCCGCCGCGCGACGGCCGCGGCGCCGCCGCCCTCGGGGCAGCCGCCCGCAGGGCTGCACGCGGCGAGCACGACCTTGGCCGCGCCCTTCCCCGCCGCCCCC